GGATTTTTTTATTCTAAAAGCTCAAAGCAAATCATGCATGCCTTTATGGAAACATAATATACGGTACAGTGTAAATGCAAAGATTTTCGTCGATGGCAATAACGGTTTAGAATGATCTTTTCACGATTCATTATCCTGTAAAATCTATTTAGAGAATTCCAAATTGTCACAAACCGAAGGGAAAATTTCGGTTTGTTAAGTTCAGACATGACTAAACACTCCACGGGGTCATCTACAAGTTATTGGTTTTGTCAAGAGAAATCAAATGCGACATCCACATCATCGGTGTCTCTTCGACGAATTTTGAAGTAAGTGAACCAAAGTTGGAGATGGATTTGAGTCCTTAAAACACAGCAATGACTACGTCGCTTAAACAAAATTTTTTCACAGCAAGAATCTGTGTAAAATTAATACGAAAATGCGAAAATTGTTTTTGAAATCTGATCTCAGAGTCATAATTAGCGATCCGGAATGTCGATACCTTGTTTTAATGAAATGTACTGAATTTTGAGCGAAATACTGATCCACATAAGCAGAGCAAGTGGGAGGAACACTAGAGATCCTGCCAACTCTCCTCTGGGGCAAGCAAGCTCTGGGTCACAGTCTGATTGTTGTATAAATCGCCGAGATGCAATCAATTTTTTTTAACCAGTCCAGTAATACCCGACAAGGGGAAAATGGTTAGACCTTCCGCTAGATGATTTTAATGACTTAGGCTAATCTCGCCAGCTCCTAAGCGGCATTGGAGAACCGCTACCTTAATAATAACGAGCACTAATAATTTATTATTACGTTTGTCAAACTGTTCGTGTATTCCTGGATCTAATAGACTTAATTTAAAACGTATGCGAACCTATGCCAACCGGTTAAACAGATTAAACAGAGGCCTACCTTGGCTTCCAAACTAAAAAATATAAAACGAGCTAATGTATGTAAGTAAATATATCGAGATCTCGGATAAGGGGACTTCCGGGACTGGCTTCATGTAAAGAGTCACACCTGGAAGATAAAACCGCCACTTCAACAGGGAAATTAAGGCAGATTTCCGTGATTCGGCCTGCCGAGTTGAAGCGGGCGGCAGCGTGAAAAATTACTTTGCGGAATGGGACGTCGGTTGGAATGGGGGGAGCACTGAAGGCGTTCTTAGTAAATCCCATAAGGGACGGTAAGCTTTGATAAGCCACAAAAACGAACAAAACTCTCTCGCAACCAAGTTGACAACGATTTTATGGGGCCAAAGAATATATTAAGCGCGGTTACGAGAAGAAAAGAAAGATATTTGAAACGCAGAATAGTGCACATATACTATGTAAGTATGCATTGTTGTTTGCAGTTTACGTGATGTCTGCTATCTATAAATCGTTCATAAAGAAATAAAACTTTTTAAATCTGCTTAAATAATCATTAGCACAATCTAAGATTAAATAGTTTTATAAGGTCTATAAAGGTGTTAATTACATACTTATATATGTACATATGTATGTATGTACGAGTATATGCAGATGTATAACCGTTTTATTATATTTAGAATATATAGGAATATACTTATGTATGTAGGAATCTGTATGTAATCGTAATAAGCAGTTAACACTAAGCAAATTTGAATATAAAATTGTACATACAAATTTGCGCTGGCAAACACTTTTCGAAACACTTCTGTGCCTAAATTAAAACAATAAAACAAACTGTAAGATCAAAATGCAATGAAAAAAACTAAAGCTATTATATAACCAAATCAATATACATACATATATGGGCAATATGCATATGTTCGCTGGTGTGTTCTGAAACATACATACATACATATGTACAAATGTACGCTCACATGCACATTTCAGAAACGCCGGTCACGCGTTGCTTTTATTTTGCAAACGTTACATACATACGAGTCCATATGAACGTGTGTACACATACGAATATGGGCCCAAGCACTCAATTCAAGATTTGTGAAAAACCCCAATTTAGAGTGATAAGATATAAAAATAAGAAATCATAAGGAGGAAAAATAGTTTTCGTAAATAAATACTTTTAGCTTAACGATACAAGAGCTAAAAAAGCTTCGCACATACATACATACACTTGCAGTCATTTCATTATTATTGACGACTTACCATTTCCCTGTACGTATGTACAAACATAGATTTGCTTATACATATTTATAATATTTGCGTAGACAAAGTCGCAGACATTATCTAATTAACACTCATTATTGAAGGGTCTTTGTACTTAAATATGAACGTTTGCTCAATAATAATAATGTATGTACATATGTATATTTGTATGTACATACATATACTCGTATGCTGAGAATACCCATTTAGCAAATTTAATTAGTCAATTTTTGCAATTTTACACTTTAATGCACATGTGCGTGTCTATGTATGCATAATCAAGTTGCATTTGATAAGGCAAACTTGATTTGAAGTTTTTATGTCGAAATTGTGCATTGTAGAATATATATGTATATGTATAAGGATTTTGCAAAAAAAAAAAAAATATGCCACAATGAAAAGCATCGCAAAGAAAGGTGGGAGAGGGACTGCGCTGAGTACTGCCCAAGTGAACAAAGATAGTGTCTTCGGTACAATAGTTGAGTGGTTCGCCTCAGAACATCCCTTAGTGGACTATCGGTTAACCGACCGTAGTCGGAAATATGCTTGTCTGTGGCATAATTCTAGGCCGAAAAAATCATCAAATAGATTAGGTAGTGATAGACGGCACGGTGTGCTGTGCGAGTCATGCAATGATATTGGCATAGTTCAGTGTATAAAGAGACAGGACTATGTAGGTTAGGAGGGGAAGGACCTCCACTTCGCTGGAAGGATCAGTTAGTATTTCCATTGTTGGTACGAAGAAGAAGAAGAAGTAGATTTTACCGCCAAACTTTGATTTCTTGGCATGTTTACTTTCTTAAGTAGATTTCAAACAAGAATTGCTAAACAAGTGCTCATGAATTACATAAGTATTTGATAATTGCGAAATGTCGGCGCAAGCATTATCTATTTCTCTTTCGCATATCATTCATTCATTACTTGTTTATTATTTGAGCCACTATTGATAATCGATGAGTACAAACATTCCACATACATACATATGGACACATCAAATATTCATGAAGGCGAATGAAGCACGCATACATATGTACATATATTTTCAAGTGTACCGAAATACCTACACATATGTACATACATACATATAAATAATTCTTATATCGTATTAAGTAAAGTAAATAAATAAATATAAATTTTAAAATATAAAAATTTCAGCAAAAGAATAACAACAAAAAATATATATGTACATGTGTATGTATTTTGTTTCTGCTTTTCAGCTTAATCTACGTCAAGATTGTTTAAAAAAATATTGCTACAAATTATTAATTTCCTGAGACTAAGGTTCGAGCTCACGGCCTTGCGTCTGGTTGTATGAACTGCTACACACTCAACTCTTACGACCAGCATGTATAAGACATAAATATATGTACAATTGAATATATTCGCATGTTTACAATGCTTTGCTTTGTCCGAATTCGTGAGGAACTCAAACAATTATGACCAAAACGTATGAGTTTCAATAACAACAAATAACAACAAATAACAAACATTTGTGCTGCAATACAACACCGTTAAATATTTAATAATGGTTTCTAAGTCAAGGAAAATAGACGTGAAAGAGAAACCGCAAATAGCATAAAGCAAAAAATGCAAATTTCAGTTTGGCTCGGACGCGGCGAGGCGAGTTTTCAACTGCATGTGATTAAAAACAAAGTGTGTGGCACCTTAGGGTCAATTTTTGACTTAAATGTATTTAGTTCGCCAAATACGTATGTACATACATACATATATAACAAACAATACCGCCGTGAGTACACGTGTATGCATGCATACGAGCACATATATGCAGTAAATGAAACTCTATTACAAAAGAAGGTATGAAAAGGGTGTGAAACCGTTATAAATTTAGAGTCCAAATCATCGACCCATAACCCACATAACACAGTAAATATAATATATATATATATACATATATGAAGGTACCTCGTCTATATAAGCAACACGATCTTAACTGAAATCTCTTCTCAAACAAGGTTAACTTTCGTCATTCTGAGAAATTGTGATTTTTCCTAATGCAGCTGCATTATTTGCACATCTCCTGACTGCCATTTAATTTTATACATTTTTGAGTAGTTCCTCATAGAAATTATTATTTGTGAAACTTTTTTTCGTACTTCTCTTCTTAATTGAATTGCCACAGAGATTCATTATTCCTCTTTTTATAAATTCTTTATGTAGATTTTTCTCTTCTGACTGCCAGCACTTTTGATAATCCTCGACCGTGGTGTAAGAAACATACATACATAGTTGTTTTTACAATTATTATGCAATTGCATTTCAATATAAATATATGTACATATTTTCTTATGGGTCACAGTTAAGTGTGAATGTTACACGACAACAAGGCCAACAGTCAGTTCAGTCGTTAGTGAAAGGATTTTTTACGTGACGCCTAACCTAACCAACCGCAAGGCACCTTCAACAGCCCCTGTACATATGTACTTACGTACACAACATAAGGACATTGTTAGAGCATTATGACTCCTGACCCCACCAAACGTTAGTAGCATTGAGAAGCGCACACACATAAGCTTTCACACAAACATACACACACACACACACTGGGTCTAAGGAAACGAGAAATTGCAGCGAATATCCACTTTGTTTACATCGCCTGTGCTCTTTACCTTCGCAAAGACAACATGAAAACAACATGGAAAAATCGATATAATCGAAAGGAAGGCGCAAAAGGAATTTGTTGAAATATGTATTGTAAATACATACATACGTGTGGGTCGACGTTATCCTTGCGTAAGGGAGAATAATCAATGCTGCGTTTGAAATGCGTCATCCACTGATTTTTCCACGATTTGTCTTAATTTTTTTTTGTATTTTCATTTACATTTCGATTGCTTTGCTAACATTTCGCTGCATTATCACCGAACTTACCAATAATAGGCGATGGTGTCGCCCAATCCATTACGTACATTTCGATCTAAGAGATTGTAGCAAATATTTGTAGAAGCGCCCTCCATCCATTTAATGGATATGGGTCCTTTGTTAATATTGAAATTGTACTGCAGGAACTTTTTTGGATCGGCTGGTGTTTCCCAATGAAACTGTTTGGCTACACGCATCCAAAATTCTTCAGGGTTATCCAAAGATTCTTCATAGAACTTTCTATATTCTGCCATGCTGGATATGTAGGCATCCCGACTGATCGCCGGATTCGGATTGTAAATTGATTTTTCTGATGGCATTTTGATGGCGTTAAGTTAGTTTAATCAGGTTGGGAAAACAAAACGAGATTTTAAAGATTTTTTGAAAACACTTTTTCAATAATTGTAAATAATTATTTCTGGCTTTACATCAACTCTTTTGTTGCAACGAATTGTTTTTATTGAAATTTCTCAATCACTTCTCTCCTTTTGTGCAAACAAAAAGTCCTTATTTCAAATGGCAATTCCCGTTTTATGTATTTCCTTTGTCAGTAATTAAATAAACGCGTTGGGGGTCGTTGAAACTTTTGTTTTTAAATACACAATAAATGCAAATGCAAATGTTTATAATTTTATAGCCCTTGGTTCCCGAGTTTAATTCCCAACAACGTCCAGACGGTTTGAGCTCTTCGCGTGTACTGAACTTGAATTCCTCACAGAAACTCAGAAATTCGATTTTTTGCTATTCAACTCACATTCACATTTTTTATATTTTTTTTATACAACTTTTGCTTTTACACGCGTTTTTCTGCGCAAAGAGCAAGCGAGTAGTTAAGCGAACGCTCCGAAACCACAAGGCAAGTGTGTGTGTACATGTGTACATACATATGTACGATATATGTAAAATATGTGGCGGCGAATGTAGCTCTTCAATAAGCATTTCGTATCTCATTCTGTCAATTCCGCTCAGCAAAACACTTCGATGTGGAGCAGAGAAAGCTTTAAAAAAAAGCTCTTTTTGTTTTTCTCTAGTTGTTAAGAGTTCGCTGGAGACTGCTAGAGAGCACATGTTAACGGCACAACCCGGCTGATTGCTTTATTTGCAATTTTTCGTAATTTCTTTCTATTTAGTAGCACTGCATTAATACTTTAAAGTGCTTAATCACTGCTTTCATATGTACTTTGAGGGATGCTGATTACTTTTCTATTTTATTTAAATTTATTGTTTAAACATGAAATTTTATTTCACCGTTAGAAATAAACGGCTCTAAGGTTATTTGGCGTGATAACAACGGTTCTGATTGTCTAGAATCAATATTCTCTACATATTCATGAGCCGTGCGAATGATCAGGCAAGATAGGAGTAGATTTGGCTAAGCCGCGAAAGCTTGAAAGAAGACTTAGTTGAAATAACTGTAAAATCGTAAGCATTACTGCACTAAATAAAGAACAAATTCCCGCTTTTTGGAATTAAAATCTTCTGTATGGCTTTCATAGCGTATTATCAGTGGCTTCAAAGCCTTAGTTCCTGCTTCATTCTATGGAACCTAGTTCGTTATGTTTCTTAAGCTGAAATACCCAGAATTCTGTGTAGACTCAAATCAGCAATACCAATTCAATGCCACATAATATATACCTATGCACGATCTATGCTTATATCCAAAAAATATGCGTTTTTAACAATCTCTCGGGGATGCCTTTCCCGCAAAAAAAGAAAAATTCTGGTTCATTTACGGGGAACAAAAGTATTCCATTTAACCATATCAAGCAAAATTTACCTACAATGAAACATTGATGTGTATATTTTTGTAAAACAGATCTATTCACTACCCGAAATGAAAATTCAAACAAAAAGAACTATAAATATGACTTTTCGCAAAAATCCACCATACCCATACATACCTATGTAATCGAACCATCCCAAATAAATTTTATACAGTCAGCGTCAAAAGAAAGTGAACAAAATACGGTAGTTTTTGCAGAAAAAAGTACCGTTAACAGTAGTTTTTTCATTGTAACTGCTCATTCTAATGTTCTTTAGTATCCTTGTGCGGACAATGGATAGCAAACTTCACCTGATATAAGGAAATTAGTGGTAAATTTTATGATGGAAGGAAAATCTTGACGTGAAATTGTTCAACAATTGAAAGAAGTCATAATGCAGTAAATAAAATTATTGATAGGCAAAATAAGTTTGGTGAAATAGAAGATCGACCTCGTTCAGGTAGACCAAAACCGCTTAATAATACTGAAATACGGTCAGTTGTGAGAGCTGCGAAGATAGTTCCAACTGTGAGTGCCGTCAAATTATCGGAAGAAATGTCCAGAACATCCGGACAGAATGTCAGTTCCAGCACGCGAGCATTGCATTCTAATGGTCTGTATGGTCGGTTACCGAGGAAAGCACCTCACATCTCTACGCAGAACTAAAAACAGCCATTGGAAAAAAAATAAATGTAAAGAGAAAACGTTTTGGAATAATGTATTTTTTTCTGACAAAAGTATGTTCGAAGTAGTAGTTAGTAGTAGTTCAAAAAAAAAATACTAAAGTTTGGCGAAACAAAAATCAAGAGTTTGATCAGAAAAACATTACATCCACTGTTAAGCAAGGTGGGGGGTCGGTGATGGTATGGGTGTGCATGGCGGCAAGTGAGGTGGGAAGGATGGTGTTTATTGATATTACATTACACAAAACTGATTACCCTTAATTTTAAGAAAAATTTGCTTCCAAGCTTTGAGAAAATGGGCTTACATCAATCCTGGATCTTCCGACAGGATAACGATTCTAAGCATACGCGAGAATAGCAAAGGAATGGTTGCTCTCCCGTACACGTAAACAACTGGACAATCCCCCACAACCATCGGACCTCAACCCTATCGGGCATCTAAGGGAGCATTTGGACCGGCAAATAAGGAAAAGAAATATAACCAGCAATAATACACTGAAAGAAATTTTACTAGAGGAGTGTCCAACTTAATGTAATCAATGCCAAGCAGTTTGGAAGCAGTTATCAGTGCAAAGGGGATATAAACAAAGGTTTAGCTTATGCATTTCTTAGTTATTCTCAAACTGTGTACATTGTTTTGAAGTGTAAAATGCTGAGTATATTCGGTTTCGTATGTGTGGTTTTTGTTTTCGTACAGTTTTCTTTGGATCGTTATTAATTTCTTGTAGGAAAAATATTTAATCATTTGTAAATTTTAATTTTTTTTACACCGAAATAAAATTTATGAGAAAAAGGTGTACACTTTTTTTGACGTAGACTGTATGGGAAGAAACTTTTGAAACGAGTCTATAAAAATATTTTAGGTATTGGTATAAAGTCACATGAAAAATATTTTTGAAAAGTAAGTGGTTTATTTACAGGACTCAAATGAAAAAAAATGAAAAGTTGTATTAAATATTTTTTTCTCAAGAAATATGCAGCGAAAAATTTTGAAAATTTGAAGCAATATTAATAAATGGTTGACAGTTATTATAGCAAATACAAATAAACTGTTGAAATTTTTTTGAGCCCGGCGTTTGTTCTCATTACAAATAATATTTTACAACTCGTGTTTTTATGTTTTTTTTTTCATGTCCAATACAAATTAGCTCTGAAAAATAATTTTAAAAAATCTTACTTTTTCAAATATTAGCATTATTCGTGCATTCATTTCCTCAAATTTTCAAAATTTTTCCTCGAATACTTCATTTTGGCAAAAATATTAATCGAGTGACTTTTTATCTCCTCAAAGATCGTTTCATAGTTACATATTTTAATCTTGATCATAGCAGCCAAACTATTTTGGAAATAAAATGTAAAAAATTAGATATGTACATATGTACATGCATATGTACTTCTGATAATTTTTATTTGAATGTAGTATTTTCATCAAGTGATAAGACACCAAAAAGGTTCCGCACATATAGAATGAAAATTAGTCCCATAAAGACGCAAAAAAAAGAACGAGAAAGAAGGAATCGCTACAGGAGCACACACCTTCATATAAAACATCAGTCGTGGGACAACAGACTGCATTTTTTACAAAGAGCTTTTATTCTACCTTAGTTTGCGTTAGCAATTATAAATATTTTATATGGAGATGACAAGCCTCTCCCTCTAATTTGCATATATTATATATATGTATGTATGTACATGTTCAGAAATAAATGCATGCACAGTTATATAATTATGATCGCCTGTTGCTTGGGTGATGTTAAATTTTAATGTTGCCACTAGAAGCATATTGATAACCTTCTAGAAAACGCACGCGCTAAAATATAAATATAAAATGTATTAATTCTTTGACCTGAAGATTGAATTGCCTATCACTTCAGTGAGCAACATCTTGAAACCCAACAATTTCCATTATGTTTTATTCCATTTGTATTATTTTTTTAACGTCTGATAAGAGTATATTTAGCGCGAATGTCCTACGCTCGGCGCAACAATCATCATCACCTGATTATTTTGAAGATTCGTAGACATGCCAAATCATTGACTTATCAGTAGCGCACACGCGACTCTCAAATGTCCAGTCTAAAGAATATTTATTGTATACTCGTATGTATGTAAATATACATGTATTCCAATTGATCACTGCGTCGCGGATTCCAGAGCAAAATACAAGAGTGTCTGAGACTTAAAATTTTATATACATTTGTGTATATGTACGTAGGTACTTGCAAATAACTTTGTAACTAATCCGCAATTTATATATTGTACATTTATGAATTCCCTTAAGTAAGCCTATAAGTATGCTACGATTAAATAAAAGCTGACTTAAGTCGTGTTGAAGATTTCTTACTCCAATTAACAATTATTATAGATTCCCTGACCATATTCACCGTCTCATGATTATGGATTCTCTGCTCTACTTACTTTCTTACTTTCTAGATAAGATTTATGAGTCAATAATATATAAAAAATATCTGATATGTTTTGTATTATTTATGTATTTCCAAGAAAAGTATATATGAGATTGGAGTAACGGAGAACAATGGGGAATCTTCGCTTCAAAAGGTTGTTGTTAGGTTGCTCTGCAGAGGGGAAAACCATACCATGGGTATTCACTGTGGCAATCGGATAAGTGTTTTCAAGTATTTTGTTAACGAATGAAAGCTCCCTAAATCAAATTTAACAAAATTTTACATTTTTATTACAATAAAGTTTTTTTCTTCCAGCGGTAGCTTTTCAAATCTTCTAGTTTTTTCCATACAGCGAGTTTAATAATAAAAGGTCAATGTTGTTCATAATAAGCCTTAAAAACTTGTGTGGCACTAATGCTTCCTCATAGCGAAAAATTTCGCGCCAGAAGTTTCCATACAATCACATATAATCAATAAAAAAAATTTTAACACGAACAATAAATAGTCAATTTTGATTTCCGATTTATAAATAGACAGCTTGGGCGATTTTCGGCTAAAACTAATCTTAATTACTTGGCGCATGTATAACGAACGACAATGATTTTGGACAGTACATTCAAACACAGGCTTATCAATGTTTTACTTACATTTTATTAACTGAACGCTTCATAAACAACATAAATGCGTGCTTGTAGTAAAAAAATAAATGTGTTTTAAGTGTCTAGCAACTGAACCGACAAATTAGAGCTAAAACTATATTACAAAACGAAATTACTATAAATTACATATATATATTAAATAATTTCAGCCTAAAGCTGAGTGAAACCCAACACAATAACTTCAAGGTCGGTATAAGTTTTGTTATTTTTGCTAAGGCATTTTTTCGCAATAAACGTGGTAAGGGGATTTTTAGAAAAATTTACGAAAAAACTAATGTTCCGCTGCTTTAAGGTACTCCTGATATTGCTCCTCACTCATTAGCTTTTCAATTTCCGCAGGGTTTGTCAGAGTAAGTTTAAATAACCAGCCTAAAAACAAAAAAAAAGAAACAAATTTAATTTGTTTCTTGACAAAATACATTACTCTATTTGAGCTACCTTTTTCGTAGCAACTGCTATTAACTAAAGCGGGTGTCTCTTCAACTTCATCATTCTTTTCGGTAACTTTGCCGCTAACCGGTGAGTACAATTCACTAGCTGCTTTCACACTCTCCAAAGCGCCGCATTCATCACTTTGTTGAAGTGCTGTGCCGGGGTCTGGTAGTTGAGCATAAACTATATCACCAAGCGCATCTTGTGCGTACTGAGAAATACCCACCGTGGCCGAGGTGCCCTCTACAGATACCCATTCATGTTTTTTAGTGTAGCGACGGTCTGAAAAAAAAAATTAAAAATTATAATTTCATTCTAACTGGCAGCACCGCAGTAATGGCGTCAGTTTGAAAGCCAATGGATAAGCAGCTGATTTCCACTGATGTGATATGAAATTTGCATTTGTTGCATAAATCCATAGTTTTGCCCAAAGTTGAAGATTTTTCCACTTACCTGCCAACAAACAACTGCTTATGTTGAATGCACGCCATTGTTGGCACTGCGTTGTGGGTGTAGCACGCAACGTTTTTGCAGCCACATTGCTGAGTTGTAGACCGAAACGTGCAAGTCTTGTAATTGAAGCCATTCTTCTGTCTCCTTATGTTATGCTCGTCGAGTTGAATAGCCGGTGTCAACGCGTCTGTTCGTCCGGTACGCTTCACGTCCACTATTAGAATGGTCGATTTTGCTTATGAAAACACGAATTATCACCAAATTATTGATTCAAATATTTTGCGGTAGCCTCGTGAACGTCTCGTCGATGGCAAAGGTTATCAATTCCACAAAGTATTACGACTATTGCCTATACAAACAAAGTAAAATAACTACAAATGTTCACTGATGACACTTGTACCACCCGTGAAGAAATTTTGTGCAGCCTATTATCAGGTAGAACTGTCAGAAATTTAAATTTACACAAATACGATGAGTGCTGCCAGTCGGTTTAATTCTTTATCCAAAAAGGAAAAGGAAATCAACTATTTTGCAGAGAAAAATTAAAACTAAAATTAAATTAATTAATTATTGTTTCTAACCAGAAGAATTTTCCAATGTGCATGAATTATTATTTATATTTAGCTACTTAATCTGTAACGGTATTTTTTGTATTAAAATGACTTTCACGTAACGCAAATAGTGATAAAGTGTCTCAGCTCAGCAGGGGGCCATTCGTTTATGAATATGTACATCTTATCAGTTGGATTTGTGCATTTGTATTTGCTACAAAACAAACTCAACAACAGTGCAAAATAAAATGTGCACTTGTTTACGATAATATTCTAAAGTAAAATAGCTCACATTTCATGACAGCGTACACATGTACAAGGCGAAAAACTAGAGAAAAAAATTTGCTTACAATGATCATATTTAGGCAAAAACTTCATGTAAGAGATTTACTTAATTTTCTCAATTTAAGACAATACGTTTTTTTTTTTTCAAATAAACTATGGAACCATCGAATTACGGCAATTAATATTTTTCCCTTTCAGGTCGATAAATTTGGTGAAGATATCATAAATCGGACATAATCGATCAAAATAACTGAAAATTAACTGAAAATCAGGGGCTGATTTATACTCTCGAAGAGAGAAACAATGATTTTCTTCCTTTTCTTCAATTTAGTAGCGGAGCGGCAAAGATCTGCAGTGCGTCAGTTCGGGTTCTCCAGAGAGTGAACCATTAATCTTTTTTGATGATTCACTAAGGCATATCTTCAAAGGTTCTAACTGAGGTCGTAATTGGCTTTTGGGACAGCAACCCAGTTGTGAAACGCATATAGCCCCTCGCTTCGTCACCTGCAGTACTCGACATGGGTTTCTGCAACAATGAAAGTGGACGTGATCTGGTGAGGGGATTAGTACGCATAGTATCGCCACAACATTTCCACACTACTTACTCTTTATTTATTCCACACTCATTTCTACTTTACCCGATTGGCCAACAAAAAAGGATTCCAAACTCATACATACAATACATATGTACATATGTATATAGTATTTACGATAGCGCATATTTATTATTTACAATTGTATAAACAAAAATATACTCGTACAATTAAATACATTCTAAAAATAAGTTCATTGTTGTGCTTTGTTATACGAATTAATGATTTGCGGAGAGTAGAAAAACAATCGAATATACAATAAAGCAAAAGTGTAGCCAAGAGCTGATACGCGGTTAAATGATATGTAGGAGTTGAGGTTGATTTTTAGAGAGCGAGATGCAATGGCGGCGTTCTACCACAATCGAACGCTGAGCAGCACGCAGATTACGCACATACATACATACAATGTACGGTTGCACGCAGATGAGAGAATTTTATTATAACGGAATTATACTAATGATGGCACTTAATTTAAACTAATTTAATTGGCGGAATAAAGATAGGTGAAGTTTTTGGCTTAAATACCATCTCGAACAGCCACACGCGCACACTCACTTCACTAGTAACGTTGATTGCGTATTATACCGTTATTTGCGCGCGACATCGGTGGCGTATAGTCTGGTACGGGAAATGGTGATATCACACCAGGCGATGTCGGAGTCGTTGTAACGATGAGGTTTTCCTTTATTGACACTTGTTTGGTGAATTGACTGTTGTTATTTACAGCAATGTTGTTGTTGTTGTTGTTAAATCTCGGTGGCGGATATTGTTGATAAGCGTCCACATTACGGAAACGCGGACCCTGCAATGAAATGTCCGACGACATGCGGGCAGCACGTGCCAAAGCATCTTGATTCAACTCAACGGTAACCGTAGAACGATTATCCGGCACGAAGGCCTCGTTGCTGTACACCTTTGTGGTAGTCGTACTAAAAGGGATAGAGGGTTAAGAGGTTAAGAGGAGTAATTAGTTAAAACCACAATCAAAAGGGTAAATAATTGAATTGAAATTATGCGCAAAGATGAATTTTCTATTATATGAAATTAATTAATGCGGAGCGTCCTACGTAATATTCTTCATTGCGATTTTTTTTTTGCACGCTCCGCCTTGCACTCACATCACGCTCAACGCGATATGGTAGCTAACTAACTGATTTCCTGAAGGGCATTCCCATATTCACTAAACCGTGATTAGCAAGCTCATCATCTTCCATTTTCATCTCCTTAATGTGTGGAGAGACTTCAATCTCATTAATAAGGATTTTTCATTTAATATTTAATATCCAGACCATGACACAAAAATATTTGATAGAAAAATATTGCTTGACATTATATGTACATATCTTATTTTCATTTTAACTTCAAGATATTGTAATTTTCAAAATTTTTCATATATTTTTGTATAAAAAAAATGCTAAGCCATGAAAATATTTCTACTTTCATTAGATTTTAGACAACACTATCCAAAGCCTTTGAGTTATCTGTGAGTACGTTTTATTTATCTTAATTTTTTCTAAATTTAGAAAGTTGAAATTCAATTTTTAAAAATGAGATTGGCAGCACAAAAATAAAGCAAAAGTCTTTTTATGTCAGGTGGTTAATATTTTTGTAAAAAATTTTGAATGAAACTGCCATTTTTTTGTATCATAAACCAGATCTTGATATCAGTTCAAGTTATCGATACCGATAAACGACAGATAATAACGGATTTACTTACACATCTTCCCCATATGCCTTGATTGGTGAGCGATCGACCATAATATCATCAACATCCTTCTCAGTCATGGGTGGCATAAATAAGTTATCCTGCATAGGTAAATAATAAAATATAAAAATAATCAAAATATAAATGGATGATTTTATGAAACATATAATTTTAATCAACGAATATGTATGTGTCTAACAAATTTTATTTATTTATTATTTAAAAGAATTGTAATTAAAATTTCCAGAAGAATGAAATAATAATATTACTTCAATTTAAATGAGAAATGAAAACCATTTCTTTTGTTGTCGATGCCGTGATACGAAATGGTAGATAATAAATTAGAACTTATCGCTAATTAATTTGGCGAAAATCCCAAGGTCTTAATATTATATAAAAAAAGACAGAAAATGTCCAAGCATACATATATTTTTACTTGAAAAAAAATTTTATTTTGCCTATGTAGGAGTAATGAAAATATTTACTGATCGCATGGCAAATTTTATCACAATATTGTTGTGTTTTTATAATTAATTACCAAAATACATATTTACGTTCGTAATATACATATGTATGTATGTATGTATATGAAAGGTGTTGTTGTCACATTCGTAATTTTTTTACTCGGTTTGTTAAGACATAAGTGAGTAAAATTTTTAAGAATTTACCCGTCGAATATTTTTTCTTCGTAGAGCTATTTTTCATGAGCTTAAAATTAATTTGTGAACTATGGATATCGTTCGCAACTATGTTATTGCTTGGCAAACGATATCATGACATTGGTAATTCCGCGTAATTTACTACCCATTCCTACTATACCTGTGTATGTGATCATAGGCTGACATAATTTCTATTTCAGTTAGTTGGGTGATTGAAATCATTACGGGTTCATGACGAAAATATTAAATACAAATTCTGCAACTAATAAAAGAGACGATAAAGACTTATTATCTCGGATCAATATGCGCTCCTTAGCAAGCGAAACGCAAGAAGTGAAGCGTTCTTACATATTCTTAGGAAGGTTAGCTTTGAGCCTCTAAATACTCTGCCAGTAACATTATTCATCAAAAATTTACATTACAGAGAATTGTGTCCTTTACTTACGTTCACGCTGTTGTCCCTTTCGTAGGCAATATGAATAACCAGCAACAAGAGATAGCACATCAAACCGAAATTGATAAGCCAAAACACGAAACCCTTGAAGGAGATGATCATCAAAGAGATTGCTGCCACGCCACCTGCCACCAACTGAGCCGCTTGGGGATCAATATCGCCCGCATTAATGCTGGACAGATTGTAATCGTAAGCTCTCTTATTGAAGTTGCCATAGTCAATGCCAAATATAATGCCCAGCGCTAGATCCATCAGATTAATGCATAAAATCGTCACAACCCAAGAGTAAATGGCAGCGCTGGTGTACGTGATGTTGTCTTTTCTCACAACTGAAAGAGATGGAAAGTTTTTGTTGTAAATATATGCTTATGATGAAATAATTTTCCTCATCACAAACTTACATGCCAATAGCAACACCGATGTTATGCACCAACACACCGCCACTGCCAAATAGATGCAATTCCAAATCAGCAAATCCTCTGGGGAGAGTATAGTTTCCACCGACTCCAACATCGTGTGATCGAATTGTTGATAGTCGGCCGGTATACAATTTCCTTTAAAATAAAGCGTGTAGAAAGCATACTGCATCAGCGAACCGTAGGTGAAGAGCGAGTTGACCGGCATATTACAGGTGTACGCTATAATGCCGACAATCGTGAGGCCAATCCATAGCAATGACTGAATCTGCAGGGGAAAAATGCACGAAAAAGTCTGAGTTAAAACATTGCAAGGGTATTAGTGTTCGAGGTCGGTATAAGAGTATAAGTTTACATGAGATCTCATTCTCCGATACCATAAAGACAACAGGCTTACAAAATAGCTAAACCTAAGAAGTACCCTTTAGATATAATGGCCACAGCACCGAATTCACATTTATGAAAGTAAAAGGATTTCTAAGTTTTTGCACATCAGATCATGATACGAGATGATGAAATATCCGAAAGTAAGTATAAGTAGACTGGGACCTTATCAGAGTGGCTTTAGATCTGGACAGATATTCACCAAGCGCACAGATCTTGGAAGAGACCCGTACACAACGAAACGACACACATCACTTTTTTATTGATTTTAGAGCTGACTTCGACAGCACAGTAAGGTGATGTCCCTACGCCGATATGTAAACTGACGTTAGACAAAACCATAAGCGCAATCGGAACTGGGGCCTCTCCGAGTCGTTCGATACCAAACGAGGTTTCAGACAAGGTGAGATCTTATACTGTGTCTTTTTTTAATTTATTGCTGCAGAACTGCATAGTGAAGGTACAATCTTCTACAAGAGTGTACAGCTGCTGGGATGAGTAGTAAACTCCTCTCTCGACGAACAAAGGCCAAATTCTACAAGCCGCTCTTCATTCCCGTCCTTCTATATGAAGCAGAAACATGGACGATGTCAAAATCAGATGTTTCACCCTTCAGAGTCTTCGAGGTGAAAATTTTCCAAACGATTTACGGTTTTGTGAGCATCGGCAATGACGAACGACAATAGGCTGTAAGAGTGGAATGAAGAAACAGCGGCCACGCTGGCTAGATCATGTCATCCGCTTTGAAAGTATTCGATCCAGTAGGCAGAGGACTTTCACTCCATTGGAAGGATCAGATTGAGCAGCGAAGAGAAGGAACGGGTGATGCGCTATAATCGCGTTAACGGTGCCTGCACCAATGATGAAGCGAAAAGAAGTAAAGTAGAATGGTTCTGTGCGTGTTAAGAAAGGACAAAAGAGAAGAAGAAAGAAGAGGTTGTCCCAAACCACGTACCAAAAAATGATTACCAATATTTATTATTAACCAAAACGCTAACTACACGTGCTCTTGCGTAGTTTCCACAAAACAAAGACGGCTGATAAGATAACATTGTAGGAAAGTAACGTTTCATACTGCCCTCTTGGTCAAGTGAGTCGTTGGCTCTTTCTCTGGATGTAGTGAAATGCACTCCAAAACTTCTAGATAGTAATACAGCTGATCTGTCATAGTGTTGACTCACTTCGGTCATGCTGTCATGACTTATATGTACATATATGTACATACATACATATGTATTGTATTTACGTTTGGTCCTATCTGGGTGCATTCTCGTCTACGCCTATTAATTTATTATGAATCATAATTCCTCTTTGTCATTTTTGACTTTAATTCGTTTTATCTTTAACGCTTAGAGTATGCATGAGCATGTACATACATATATACATATACACGATGTAGCATTATTAATTTAGCTCTTGTTCACACATTTAATATTTGCACAAATGATATCATTTATTTTTATTTCAAAATTTCAATTTTCTCAAAAACAATGAAATAATTAAATAATTTACGCTGTTGCTTTTGTAATCTACATATATACATATATATATATATTTATATGTATACTTTAAAAAATTTTGCGACTAGTTCCTAAAAAGAGAATCTCGGCATTAGTCTCAATCAGGTGTAATTAGGCATTAAATGGCCAGAAGTGGTCCCAAGCGCTGAAGAAATCGTTTTTCAAAATTGAATTGAATTGATTGCAGGTCTACGGCCCTCAAATCACACAGCTAAGTCCATGCAAAGAGATGCAACGTGGCTAGAAATCGCATCTAAGCCATTGAGCAGGATTCCAACTATGCGAGCCCATCTTCGTTCCGTTGGAGCTGGGAGCATGGGGAAAGATGTGGGACCCAATCGGCTGAGAGCCAGACACTCGTTTCGTAGAGGCTTTGCACACAGCCGATTTAACTTTCACCAGCTTATGGAGATGAGATATCAGGGGATTTTAAAATAAAAGCGGTACCCCACTAGGCACCTTCAGTAATGTCCAGGCATTGTAGTCACTGAGTTTGAAGCTATCTTAGTTATTGGCGCGGTCACAGAAGAACCCTGCTCCTGTGCCTGTCTCACATTTAGGCGCATCGACTAGCATTTTGTTCATTATTTTCTGCTAAGGAAGGCGCAGATAGAATCTACCCGGGAGAAGGTTCCATCTCTCGGTCGTATTTTACGTTTAGCTCGAGTTCTAATATAAATTTCTGAATGCGCTATATCCTGTACAATTTGGGGACAGAATTCAACTGTGTAGACTACCTCTTAGTAGCTGCGCTTATATGTTAATAGGCTTAATGTTAATGATGACTTCTAGAGCCTTTGTTGAGATAGTACCAAGTAGACAGGTGTGTTGGACTTGCACAAAGGGCTTAATACGGCACTTCTTCTTTAATATACCCTATGTTAGTATGGACCCTACGACACTGATGTAAATCCAATGCATCGGATGTGGTCGCCGCTGCTATTTTGGCGCAATGGATTTCAGCAGGTATTTCAAATTCTGAGCGCTTTACAACGTCACCTTGGTAAACCTTCGTCTTTCTAGTAAAGAAACAAATCTCAGATTTTTGGAGTTTACTGATAGTCCTTGTCTTTCAGCTCAATCAGCTGCGATTTCAAGTGACCTGTCTATTACCAGTGATAGTCGGTTGGGGTATTTGCCAGAAGATAGTATGGCAAGATCATCCGCAGTTGGAGTAACAATACCGGATACAGGATGCCGCCCTTTGCTTCTGCTTCCCATATGGCCCCGCATCTTATCTTTTGGTCACGTTATTGTGAAGCTCAAATGTAAAAAACTACAATTTTAACGTTATCAAAAGTAATTAAAGTTGAAGTAATTGAACTTATTTAAATCCCCAATTTCAATAATAAAAATATATGTATATTTTTTGCTCATTTCTTCCCTTTTGTTCGCATACAAGGTATAGAGATATGGATTCCCCTTTTTCTTTCACGAGTGAAAACTGGTGATTTATCATTAATAAACACGGAAATTTTATCTACGATTTTTATTGCTCTCCAAAAGAGTACTCGTATATTCCTATGTTTGTGATTCATTAAAATTAGGTTCAAGTATTGTAGTTGGCATTATTTTCCGCAAAATTAAGTATTAATAATAGAAATCTAAGAATGTCGAGGTGTATACTTTGCTGTTTGTTCTTTGATTCATCGCTTTGTTTAATGAAAAATGACGTTTCTTATTTATTGTGATTTCTTTTCGTTTTCGAAATTAAAAATCATTTTGTTTTCTCTTCGTTGTTAAAAGGAAAATTTATACAATTAAAACCCGTTTTATGGCGACCCTAGAGTCTTTCGAACTGCGAAGCTCCGAGGTATCTAGGACGAGTTTTAGCTAAGGCAGAACGGAAACATAAGTGTTCTAACGTTTCACTCATGCCTTCCTCTCTGCTCGTCTTAACCATTAACATTAATTTGTGTCAGTCTTTTCTCGAAACAGGGACGATTAAATTGCACAAAAATCCTTTAGGCATCCAACTTATATTTCAGAAAAATTCAGAAAAAGGAAAGTGGTTTTTAAACTCAATTTCAATCATTTTACTGGCTAATGTTTACCTGGAACATTATAATGCGGCCGCAATGGCCGAGTGATTGTCACTGCTTACTAGTTCGACCAACAGCTCGGGGCAGGATAATGACTTCGGCAATTAATGCTCTCTCAGAAAAGTCAAGCGGATATGAGATTTTGGAAGGAAAACTTATTAAAACGCATACAATATGAAGAGTTGCTATTTAATTTTCCAACTAATGTTTGCCCACCCTAAAAATCGTGCTTATATCCGAGGAAGCTCGACCAAGCTCGCTACTTTCTTATTGTGATAAGCTTTTTTGGTGGCTAAAGGACTGGTTTGTTGTTTATATGAATTGAACGTTTTTTGTTATACAACGAAGAAAAATGGTAGATGTAAAAGCTGGTTCGGAGATCAGCACATCTCCTCGTCTGACTTCTTATGGTATAGATCGAACCAACGGAACCTGACTTAGTAGACGAGTGCTCTACCACTGTGCCAACATCAGCCATGTAATCCATTATTCTATTGCTTTTTCATCTGTAATATTTTAGTTAAGTGGGGTCTTCTTACATTTATCGTTATATCAATGAATTTCAGAGATAGAAAATTTTTTCCACCAAAGTTGAACCGAATCAGGCAAAGTTAGTTTTCAATTTGGTACACGTCGTCCCTTGTAGTAAATACTTAGGATGAGCCTTATCATCTCCTCTCCCCTATTGTTTTTCACGACGATCGGATTGCTGTACGAGTAGTTTTTTCTGAATTACCAATGCAGAGGTCGATAAAAACCCCAAATTAAACTTTATTTAACTTAAAAAGGATTCCACAGAGAAAAGTGCTCTTTCTGTTAATCTACTTGGACAATGACAATGGAAAACTTGGTCAAATGGATTTCGAGAGAAAGTAAAATGAAAATGGATCGCGTAGTCAAAATAACCAAACGAGTTATACAATGATTATCATGCTGTAAGACATAAAATTATCCCGCCTGGGAGTGCCGCTCATCACAAAAGAAGAGGCCAAAACAATATTTGACGAAAAACATTAGCAACAGAAGTAGTCAGAGGTTAGCCTCGGATACGCTGGATCGATAACGTAGAGGAAGAAGCAAGGAAGATTGGAGCCACTAACTGTAGGGTACTTGCCAAGAAAATGGACCAGCAGAGGCGCAAATTTGAGGCAGTCATAGCCCAACCAGGGCTGTGACGATGATGATGACTTACCACACCGAGTATTGCGGCCCATAGCACAGCCGTTCGTAAACATCCGAAATTTTTTATATGATTTCTATTGCCGTAACCGCCGTAGCCACCAGCTGCCATATTGCTGCACTTTTTTGCTTGCTTTAAGAACTTCAGTTATCCAAGCGCAGCGGAAACACTGTTGCTATCCTGTTTTTGGAAAGTATTTGTATGTATCTTAATTATTATATTATATTTTTATTATTAATATTTTTTTTTATTATTTTTTTTTAAGTTTTGCGACGGACTTCAAATCATCCTTTGCATTAGCAAACGTAAATCTAATTACAACACTTTTTATAATTTCACTCTCGATTTCGGTAGTAACGGTTATTTGGCCAACTTTTCTCGATAACGAACTGCGATCGGCCGATGGACTTTTGCTTTAACGCATTTAACAAAATTTTAATTAAGAGCTTTTTTCGAACTGAAAATAAAATTTATTAAGACCTTCGTGGATGATTACGGTTTGGCAATATATTTTATTAGTTATCCGATTACCGACTTTATTGTCCGCCTCTTTCCTGTATATATGTAAGTACATATATTTGTATATAGCTTACATGCACAGACGTACGCACTCTATGATTACTAAACTAAGGTCGCCAGCAACAACAATCAACGAGGCGGGGTGGTATTGGGAATTTATTGTAGTTAATGGAAAAGCGCGCTTTGGTTGTACTTTTTCGTTGCGCGTTCGTTTTTGGACTGTTACGTGTGTGTCGCCTTTTTACGGTGCAGAGTCACAATAGGCCACAAAAGCTACAGGTGAATTGCGAAACGCTGCGCCAACTGCCAATGAGCCAAAAAAGTAAAAATTATAATTGACTAGAACCTAGAATAACGTTTATTGAACGCCCGTCTATAAGGTGTATATGTGTGTGTGTGTGTATGTGTGTCTGCATGGGTACATCTATGCCTTACGGGAGAGGCTCTCAAAAATAGTAAAAAATAGTGAAATATGGGTGGGTGGCTAGGGGTTAACAACAACATACATATGCGCAAATATATTTTATAACTCACACAAATGCGCATAAAGTATTTTTTGTAATTATTATATGTATGTATGTATGGAGTCCTAAGAAGAGCACACACACACACACGCAGAGTTCCGAAGTTTCGATTCGCACGCTAACAGCTTTTTTTAATAATAACCATATTGGTAATATACCGAGTATAGTTAGCGGTATGCTGATGCCGATGCCAATGCCGATGACGCTTATAGAAAATAATTTCTTAAACTGTTATCAGTTCAGCGATCTTATCAGTTGTTATCAGCGCGGTCTTGTGTAGCGGCACCACAGTTGTGTTTTCCTTAACGATAAATTCTTTTTTAACCACACATTTTGCAAAATATATAGAAATTTTTATATACATACATATGCGCATATGATTGTATGTATGTATGGGTATATATGTATCCAGGTATCGTGAAATTCATTTGTTAAAATATTCATTATCGTTTAGTTTTGTTGCCTTGTTTTTTTTTTTGGCTATTAGAGATATTCACTCATAATAACGGTATTCTCGAATTCTTATCTTATCGGTGTCTCCTTCGATGTACGGACATACATATATGCATACATATAGGCAATGTGCAAGTGCTATAACTTTCATGATATACGAGGTGTGTTCAAAAAGTATCGCGAATTTTGATTTTTCGCGGGTTACGTATAATCGAATTTCGATTTTTTTATGGCGTTATGCTGGTACTCATGTCTGTCACTTATGCCGACAAGCTCGGCCATTTTGAATGTTCACCTAATTGTGGACAGCTGCTTTGCTTGCACGTATTTTGGATGGTCTTCGATTTTTACCTTTTCAAAAAAATGGATCAAAGAACCTGTATCAAATTTTGTGTGAAAACCGAAATTAAATGCGCAGATGCATTCCGAATTTTGACTGTGGCATACGAAGAAGCTACCTTGGACCGAAGCAACGTTTATCGGTGGTACAAAATGTTCTCAGAAGGCCGAGAAGATGTGAACGACGAAGAGCGTGCCGGAAGCCCGAGCACTTCAACAACAGACAGTTTTCTTCGATTGCAGGGCGTGGTGCATCATAAGTTCTTGCCACCGTATTCCCCAGATCTGGCCCCCTGTGACTTTTTCTTGTTCCCTAAACTGAAGAGGCCCATGAAAGGACGACGTTACGCTACGAGAGATAAAGACGGCATCGAAGGAGGAGCTGAACAAGATAAAAAAATGATTTTTTGAAGTGCTTCGAAGATTGGAAAAACCGTTGGCATAAGTATCTCATGGGGATTACTTTGAAGGGGACAAAATAGATATTCATGAATAAATAAAAAACTTTTGAAAAAACACAATATTCGCGATATTTTTTGAACACACCTCGTACTAACCGTTAAAAATATAGCAAAATCGCTTATGTACCTACAAATATACATATGAACATATGTAGGAATGATATGATTTCGGGTTTGGTCAGAAATTTTAGAAAACTTACCTCACCATCTTAACTATTTAAACAAATTGCTGTTGTTATAATGGTATGTGTTAACATACCTACGTATATACATATGTATGTATGCAAACGTTACAGTGAGAAAATAATTCGCTAATTATTGTACAGACCGTAAATAACTTCGATATCATCCAAAACGTATACAAAATATATGAAAAGAACACTTTGAACACTTTGGTACCTAATCACTGGGATTGATTCAAAAATATTTGAAATTAAAAAAACGGCTTAATTATGTATGTAAATATTAATAAATAGCGCACTTGCATGCCATACAAAAAATATATTTGCTTCACGCCAATTTTATTACTACATTTTTAATAACATTTCTTGCACTCCTAATTTCATTTAAATTCATTTGACTACAATTTAAAATTTTGGTTTGAGTAATTAAATTTTTGAATAAAGCAGATATTGTGCTTCATGACCACAGCGTTAGCACACGCGAGTAATTTACATACCTACATTTGAGCTGATACAAATAGAAATGGTGTATGTCCACTTAAAAAATTGTTATTTGCACGACTTCGCGATTCTAACTATTTGAAGGTCTAGAAATAGCGGATGAAGACAAAAAATGTGCGGTATGGTGTAATGCCCATTCCACTTTTCTTAATTAGATTCCACTTGGTTTTTTTTTGAGGCCATCATTGCAATCTGTTAAGCAGGACGCACCTTAATTTTCTTAATTGCCAGACATCGTACGTATGCAATACCAACTTGACTTTTCTAAATGTCGATGGTATGTGTTGACTTGCTTTTTTTCATGCTGATTCACGTGTAAGATCAACTGAACTTATTTCAGAAACCCTCCCCTAGACCAAGCCTTTTTCTTTATAAGGAACTATTTTTTTAGAAAAATAATTTATTCTTAATAGAATTTTATTTAATTCAGAGCTTACTCCTTATACAAATTTTTAGTATAATTGCTGTGTTGTTGTCATATATTCAAAATTATAACTTTTATAAAAAAATGTATACATAAAAAAAACGAAATCACAATTGGAGATGCGGGGCATCGATCCCCGTACCTCTCACATGCTAAGCGAGCGCTCTACCATCTGAGCTACATCCCCTATACACATATTTTCCGCATCAACCGCATTACGAGCTAATTGTCTATACACATTTTTTAATTAAATCACACAGTGGAACAAAACATTATAATCTAGTGTCTAGCATATGAAAATAACTTTTTATATTATAATATTTTTTCATACATATATATTAATTAATAAATGCACATATTTCATATATAAGTTAAATACGTGGATTATTAATGGAACAAATATTTTAGATATTTTTTTTTGTAGCGAAAAGGGTAAAATATACTGTTAATAAGATGGTTTGTTTAAAAATGTTCGCTATAACTAAATTTTTTCTTTTTTTGTTTTCCAGTTAAATTAAATTCCATTTTTAGTCTTACATTTTTTTATTTTGTATTAATTTGGCAAAAATTAAAAAAAAAAACATATAATATTAAAATGTTCTAGTTTAAATACCAAAAATTTTATATACGGAAAAAAGCCTAGAACCTTTTCAAATTTCTAATCAAGTTTATTCCGAACGTGCTGTAATCACTTTTCATTCCGTTCAATTTTCTTCTGAAATTTCGCATATAAACTCAACTGATTTGTTGATAATGAAGATTTTGAATTCCGCAAAGCAATCTCAAAATCGCTCGCTTTAATTTTATTTTCATCTTCATTACTCTCCACACTCAGCCTTTCAAAAGCCAACAATGCGGCTTCATTACAGAGATTACATATATCAGCGCCTGTATAAAGCTCAGTTGCGTTAGCTATCCCGTAAATATTTACATCGCCATCAAAAGGCATACGTTTGCCAATTAATTGTAGAAGGGATATACGCGATTGCAAGTCTGGAGCTGGAACGTAAATGTGTTTACTCAAACGACCAGGTCGTAATAACGCGTCGTCAATCATATCCGGTCGATTACTTGCGGCAACAACAAGTATATGTTGGTTATTGTCATCTGAATTGTCTATAACGCCATCCATTTCTGTTAATAAGGTCGAAAGAATACGAACATGCACATCACTTGAACTGCTCGAGTTGATGGGTCGTCGGCCGGCCATGGTATCTGGGCGTGGAGTCCAAATAAAATTAATAGATATTTGAGTTTATTTTAAAAATTTGCGTACCGATTTCATCGAAAAATACTAAACAGGGTGTATTTTTCCTTGCTGTGTCGAAAATACGCGATATAAACTTTTCTGCCGCGCCCACATATGGTGAGTAGACATCCGCAGTAGAAATGGAAATAAATGTCATATTGGCTTCTTTAGCAAGACATTTCGCGAAGGTCGTTTTAGCGCAGCCGGGTGGACCATAAAGCAATAGCCCTAAAAATATATATAGAAAAGCAGTTTCGATATAACAAATATATGTGCATCTAGTTATGTATGTATATATCACCTTTTGGCAGTTGAAGTCCGAAATATTTAAATTTTTGTTGTCTACGGAGACCTGCTAAAATACTAACTTCCATAGTACGCTTTAAATTATCCATGCCACCTATTGTTTCGAAACCATCAACAAATTTGAATACCTGTACATCAGCACCATGCACTGAAGCTGGTCTTACCTAAAAATGCCATTCAACTAATTGTATTATGAAAAATGAAGCATCTATTATACTAAATTACCGTAGTCAGAGCAGTTTTCACCAAAACTTCCATAGCGATTTCGTCTCCTTGCCTTAATAGAGCTTGCTCTATATTTTGCACTAGCAATGCTATATCTCCGGCTACAAAACCTTGCGTTCGTTTTGCGACTAACTCGAGTAGTTCCTTCTTTATATGCTTTTCCTTGCGGAATGGTTTGTCTTGGTTGCTTTCAAACATTGAACTAAATATTCGTCTGCGGATTTGTTCATTTGGCCAGTCGATAACTATTTCATGTTGAAAACGTCCAGGACGACGTAAACCATCACTAATGGCACTTGGATTTGACGTAGTGGCAATACAGAAAATGTCAGTAGGTGAATTATGTAAGTCATCTAATAATTTAAACAATTGCACGCATATACGATTCGAATTGACTGAATCCACAGTAGAGATGTTGTTTGAAGCAGGGCAGAGGTGGTCTATATTTTCAAAAATAATTACCGTTGTATCTGAAAAAAATAATGCATACAATGAATTACTAGCATGCGTGAAATATGAAACATTGTTGACCTATTACTTTTGGACTTAAGTTTTATAGTCAAATGTATGGCATTTTCGAATACTTTTCGAAGTTGGGCTTCAGCCTCCCCAGGATATTCATGTAATACATTGTCCGTCGAAATATGAAAGCAATTGCAATTAAATTCTTCCATAAAGGCTTTTATCAATAATGTTTTCCCACAACCCGGTGGTCCAATTAGTAGCGCATTCAAATGTGGCCGGATGCTTTTACATTTGCTTTGAATCTCTTTAAGTTTTGCACTGGTTAATAAATCTTTCAGCTCGTTCCATACAAATTCATATCCATGTTTGAAAAATGGTGTTTCGTTAGTTATAACCGTTCGGTGTTTTACTATAAAATTCCAAATGAGTACCTTTGTTTGACTTTCCAACTGGAAAATATAATCTTTGTTGAGTTCAGAACACTCATCTATATTTATAGCAGTTATTCCAAAACTCTCCGCTGTTTTGGTGCGAACAGCACATCCTACTGACAAATAGTGTTGCGCCATTATCTGTTTCGTGGTTGCATTCAACATGCTAAGATCATACTTTCGCAGACGGCTTTTAAAAAAGGTTTCTGTAATTTCCAAAGTAATATTAACAGAATTCACTCGCTGTTGATAGGTATCAACCGCCTCTAGTTTGTATAATGTCTCTGGGAGTTCAGCAAAAGGAGCAGAACCGACAGCGTAGTCTATGTAACAACTTTTCCTGTCTATATCACGCGGATAAACTTGGCATATATAACACTTGTTGTAACCAACTCCTTTAACCATACATTTCATCCATGATCCTGGGTGTATACCACTCTTCTTAAAAATTTCATTGGGCAACAAGCACTTTTGAAAAGTGTTGTCTTCAATTAATTCAAGCGGTAACACGCATATATGTTGTTCAAAAGTAAACTCCATTGCAAATCCGTATCCTAGAGAGGCTATTTCATTTAACTTTTTTATTATTAGCCCTGGGGCTAATAAAATCGTAAACACATTCTCAAGTTGAATTAATTCAAAACTTAGGAACATATGATTCGCATATGATGCCATATCAGCATTTACATGGTGCAACGTACTTACCATTCGTGTGTGCAAAGTTTCGTTAGATGAATGTGATTGAGATACCAATTATCTATTAATTTCAGCAGTCAATAATTTCTAAATTAACTTTAAAAATACCATTCAAGCTGCTAAAAGTGTTTTTTTTTTTAAACCACTGGTGCATATAATCCAGGAAAACCTAATCTTTATCATAAAAAAATTTCCTAGAACTTGTAAGTTAACATAAATATTCATACCAAATCATTCGTTATCTGTCCCTTCGAGAAAAATAGGAAGCCGTAATTAAGTTACGGAATACAACAGTGCGTTTTTAAAATGGGATAGCTAGCTAAGCGTCTTGTTTTTCTTTCACTCATCCACCATTGCTGAGTTTGTGAAGGAAAAAAGAAAATTATTCACAATTCTCTAAGGTATATGCAAATTTCATTCCACGTTGAATGGCGAAAATCAATAAGTTAAATATCAAATAGTTACAATTTTTATTAAAAATTTATTGGCGAGTAAATCTCTTAAAGAAGCAAATAATTTGAGGTAAGAGAAAAAGTATAAACATTATAAAAAGTCGGCTTTGTTTCTAGTTTTTCTTATTTTCTTTTCATCACTTTCTTGCTGCATAGAAAAGCAGAAAATCATCCATTGGTCAAAAGATTAGCAGAGACAACGCAACATATACATACAAGGTTTTTAAAGGAGAAAAACACAAATGAAAATTATGGCCGACTTGGATGCAGTGCACCTGGGCTTAGATGAAAATGAGGCAGATATTGCCGAGGAATTACAAGATTTCGACGACTCCTTTGATACACGTAGCGAAGCGTCGGAATCCGGCTCGGACTCTTCAGTCTCCCAGCCTAGCATTAGTTCAGTGAGTACGGCTCTATCGTCCATTGGTGAAAAACACAAAAACAAGACGAAGAAGAAAGCTAGTAAGGAGAATGAGAAGAAAGCAACTACGAAGCGAACATCTTCGCCCGGGGGCGGGGCTATAAATGGGAAGAACACTTCTGCTGGTAGTAAGAAAAAACGATTTACCGAAGAATCGTCCCATAAGGTCGTTGAATCATCAAGTAAAACTGCTGAGAGTAAAGTAGGTAGCAGCAAAGATAAGAAATCTCAGAAAAAGGTTAGCAGCGGCAGTGGTAAAAATTCTTCAACTACTTCTATAGCTAACAATGGCCCGGCCAATGCTAGCAGCGGATCAGCACATGCTATTACAAGTGGTCATAAAAGTGAAGCCAGCGATGCTGAAGAAAAACCTACATCGAAAGCACCATTTGATAGTGATTCCGAATCCGAGGATTCCGATTCGGCAGCTAACATAAAACGTAATGGTAGAAAAGCAGTTTCCAAGAGTGCTTCACCTGAAAAGAAACCACAGAGTGGATCTAATCCCAGTGGTAAATCATACGATTATATGACTAAACTGAACTACTTGTTTCGTGGCACACATTTCTTCTTGATTAAGTCCAATAATGCAGATAACGTTGGAATTGCAAAGACCAAAAATGTGTGGGCTACATTACCACAAAATGAAGCAAATCTGAATCAAGCCTTCAAAGAGTCTCGAAATGTTCTGCTAATCTTCTCCGTCAACGAGAGCGGTGAGTCATTATCTAAGCAAAAAAGCATTTTGTTACATATTTCACTGCTGCTGTCGCAATTTACAATATAATTTTTTTATAAAAATATTATTTTGTTTGTAGGAAAATTCAAATATGAATAGTGATAGATGTAAGCGTTATGGAATTTTACATTTCCCCATAAAAAAAATTAGAAGATATTCGCATTTATCGGGCACATCTAGATTTAGATGACTACTAATTTTATTATTAATAACAGTATTGTAATTTTTTTTATATCATTTTAGGAAAATTCGCGGGCTTTGCGCGCATGAGTTCTCAATCGCGGCGAGATCTTGCTCATCCCGCTTGGGTGTTACCGCCTAGCATTTCGCCGAAAGCCTTGGGTGGTATTATTGAGCTTGACTGGATTTGCCGGAAAGAGCTCTCGTTTAACTGTACTTCACATCTTTATAATACTTGGAATGAAAGCAAACCGGTTAAAATTGGACGAGATGGACAGGAAATTGAACCCAAGGTTGGAGCAGAGCTATGCCGATTATTCCCAGAGGATGAAAAGATCGAGATGACGCCTATATTGCGAAAATCTAAAGAGACTGCAAAGATTATGCGTGAGAAGGGTATTCGCGTATCGTATCGTCCACCTCGTAGTTTATCTTCACGTGGTAGTCGCGGTAGTTCTGGTGCTAGCGGCGGATTTCCAGGATACCGGCAAAGTGATCGCCGCAGTGGTAATGTTGGTGGCCCACTCCGACATAGGCGCACTTTTAGCGCAGGACCACATCGTCCGTATAAATTACCGCCACTTGGTATGCCACCTGGTGGTGGATTCAAACGCTCATCATCTCCATACAGAGGAGGTAGTGGCGTCGGACCGGGAGGTAGTGGCGGATCGCGTACTGGTGGTGGCGATGCTGGCTTGCCATCGTGGGATCGATATATGAACTCCGCCGAAGCTTACATGGTTGACTATATGCGTTCAATGCATGGCCAACTTCCACCATTGCCCTTTGTACCACCATTTGCGCAACTTCCTCTCTCTGCTTCCGGTTCAGGTGCATTACCACCACCGGGACCTCCGTCAATGTATGACCAGTTACCTCCACCAGTGCGGTACTATGATGGACCACCACTGCCAGATTATCCACCGCCACAACCCATCAGGCCCCCACCACCTGGTTTCGACAAAGCGCCGTCTTACGAGGATTTTGCAGTTTGGAAGAATGCCGGCTTACCAACATTACCAGAAGGCATGCCGCCGGGTTTTCCAAATTTTGGCAGCAGCGGAGGAGCATCATCATCTAATGGTAATGGCAGCGGTATAGGTGGTTCAAGCTCTGTTGGCGGTGGCGGAAGTTTTTCCAATGCTGCTAATCCCATTGGTTCAGGCAACCCATCAAGTGGTCCTAATAGTTTCCGCAGCAGCAGCCAACGTTCCAATAATTCCAACCTAATGCGTCCACGCGAACGCGCCGGTGGTCGCGACTATCGTGGGCCCAGTGGAAGCATGAGTGGTGGCTCACGCAGCGGTGGTAATGATAGACATTTTCGTGCCGGCGGTGGTAGCAGTGGTGGAGCGCGGAATTATCGGGACGGTAGGCGCTAAGCAGGATATGTGAGATTACTATAAAAAAAAGGCAACATAAATTGCGAAGTGAATCATATGCGATCTTACGGTTACAAGCGTCTAGCCATTGTGAAAGTAAAACCAAGCAAAAAAAAAAAAACGAATGGTTGAAGCTGAGTGAAAAAAAATTAAGTGCGTCAAAATAAAAAAAAAAAACCCTAAACCCCTTCAAAACCTATTATACGTGCTGTAACCTCTTCGTATTCGAACTTTGTAAACAGAAGTGTTAAGTTGCATGATATGTATTTTATTCAGTGTTGCCGCTGATATCTTGAATGGTATATTCTTCAAATTACCAAAAACCGAAAAGTGATTACAATTTTAGGCTTAAAATCTATCATACCAAGGGAATTTTGAATTCCAAAATAATAAGTGTATATGTATTACCCCTTAAATAATAGACATCGAATCAAACAAGCAAATGACCCGAAGATTTGAACCATATTTTCGTTTAGTAGCAACAACTAATTTCACAATTCATATTTTTTTAATTGGGATTTCAAGTTCATAAATTTAAGTAAAACCTTAAAGTTAATAAATATTTTACAACTTTATTGGACGCGCTGACTCGAATAAGTTCTTGCTCTATTTTTAACAGCACATCAAAACAAATTAATATACTTGCAGCCCCAAGATGATAAAATGATGAAACTCGGTTTTGTGTCGCACCAGTTACATAGATGATTGATTTTGACTAAAGCTAATTAAAATAATATTACCACTGTGTCGTAACATACTCGATTCAGGGGTGAAAGGAAAGAAAAGTTGACAAACTCTTTTAATAATTATAAATACACGCATATATATATATATATATAATTTTGAAATTTAAACCCTAGTTATAATTTTACGTATCGAAAAAATATAAAAAACAAATATAAATGTGGACTTTATTTGCTTAACGAAGGCGGAGAGGTTGCAATGAAAAAAGAAAAAGCAAAAATATATATACGAACTGTTGTGAAAATATGGACTGCTTTGACCAGTTTAATCGAAAGACGTTTACCCTATACCCACTCCACTGAAACCGTCTTATCAATCAGCTTCCAAATAAATAAAAAAGAGTGTTTAAAAATGCTCAAGTACATCAAAAAAAAAGAGAAAACTATAAGTGTGTGCAGTGTTCCAAACGCAAGCAAATTAACATAATAAGAAACGAAAATATTCTAATTCACCTGGAAAGGAACTTAAGAAGAGTGCCAGAAGAAGAGTGTTTATACTGAGAAAATAATTGCGAAACTTCTGCAGAACATATTTTCGTATTTAAGAAAATATCAAAATAAACAAAACCCATTGGATTTATCTACTTATCCAGTATGAAACCTCTGCTCCCTTTTTCCAGTTAATATGGAGTGAGTGAGTCAAGCCTATTCTGTGGTTACATTATTCATACACATAAGAACTTTTCGCTTATGTTCAAAGAAACATATACAAAAGAACTGCTTGAAACGAAAATTCTCATTCACAATTTTACCCATAATGTGCATTAAATCTTTGTCTAATGGGATTCGAGCGTGACGCTTTTGAGTCCCTTATATTAAGTTTCCTGCACTGCTCTCAAGAGCACATACTGCAGCACCAATAACCGTTTGCCTAAGGAAACAAGTGTATTAATGCTTTTGAAATTAAAATTAAACTAATTCTTGTCTTTCAGACCATGCCGACCTTCTAATGGGAAAAGCTGTTTGACTTTGGCAGTCCTGTATTCAAGCATTGTGCAGCATAGAAACATTCAACTGATTTTTTGGGACTGAAGATTTCGCAGCAGAAATACTAAACAATCTTAGTGTTGGTAATATTCAGCAAATCTTAAAATTTAATTAATTCAAGTAATCACATTTTGGATTGACGTAAATGCTGACCTGGCTATAGCTCTTAATCGAGAATAAACCAAACATTCGAAGAAATTTTGATAGCGTCGTCCATTACTGCTGTACGAACATGAAATCATAAAAACTTGATGAAGAACTCATGAAAACATATATATAATTGTCGCTTTATAGTTGCTTAAGCGGTTCTTCCAATTGGTTATGCTCATCTTAATGTTCTTCTTCAAAACCAGGAAAGCAGACCTAAGCATTAAGGCATTTTTTTTTTATTCTATATTAATTATGTTGTTGATTCTGGCCAGCATTCGAAGCCATAAGGTCTCCCCTTGTTGTGACGTTTAGTCGACTACAACGGTCTCACAAGGATTTTAAAGGTGTATATTTCCCTGACTGGCCTCTGTGTAATAGAAAATTTGATTATAAAATAGTTGAACTTCTAGGCAAGGATTACTCTTTTGCTTAAGCACTTTTACTTTATATCTACGCTTCGTTACGTCGTAATAGTAAAGAATTAATCTTGGACCATATAGCGTTCCCTCATTTTGAGCTAACTTCCAAAACAATAATAATCAGAAAAATCAAAACAAAGAAGTTTAGACAAGATTTCTGAGTTCCAGCACTAAGTAAGTTTTCCTGCTGCATTGCTTTCATTACTTTCCCGACAATTTTTTTTTTTACTTCCAAATGCAATAGAAATAGAACAAACCGTGACAGAGTAAGCATAGACATAACCTAGATGACAGTGACAAAGCGAATAAACTATCGGACAGTTTTTTGAATCAAGATATTTCCATTTCTTTTCAGTTTGGGAAAGAGCGAGCTGGGCGAAGGACGATTCGTCAGTGCAATATGATTGATAAGATGATGATAGAATATCAATTTATTAAAGGTGCATCTTTTTTAATAAATTTTTATTTATTTTTACAAAATTTAAAAATTGTGTTTTTTTATAGCAATACAATGAAGTTAGTTTATTTTATTTATTTGCTTTGGGATATAGGTAAATGATAAATTAAAATTTAATTATTTTCGGACCTACTGTCTCCTCAAAAGCACTATCATCAGAACTGGAGGTTTCTTCCTCGTTCTTTTTAGAAGGTACTCTCGGACATGTCGCGGTTGATGATGTGCTTGGAAGATCAGCAATCGAATTACTAGCATTTACGCTAGTTGAAGGAGGACTCTGCCGAGAATCTAAAAAAAAACGTAAATTTTAACGATATTTCCAAAAAGAAAAAATTAGTAAATAAATTATACAATTAAAAAATATAAACTGAACTGAATTGAATTTCTTCACCAACCTGCAATCAAAATACCGTGATTTCTTTCTTGTCGCTTTGTTAGAGCATATGTGCTTGCGTAGAACAATGCTGGTAAGATGGCTGCAATACCGCAAGCAATAAGAAAAATTAATGGATTAAATTGACGATGACAGCATTTTAAATCTTTTGACCAGTGTTCCCTTGTCCGGTTCATCTAAAAGCGATTTGAAAATAGGGACATATATTTATTTTATAAACTATAGTTCTTACCGAATCTTGCATATCATAACAAACTTGCCCATTATTATGTTTATCCAAACCAACATAGAACCCATTTAAATCTAGGTAATGTGGCAAACATAATGCACACTCTTCACCTTTATGGTCACGAAGGCAGTTCTCAAATTCCCTTGTTTTATTATCGAATGCCCCAGAATTGTTGCTAGCAAAGCAATCTATGTAAGTATATAATAATTTATAGTTATAAGCTTAATTATCGGTAATATTTATTCACCATCACAGTAAGCTTTCGCCCATAAACTGGTTAGTATAGCTTGTGTTGTAGAAACAATATTGATACGGTCTTTATCAAAGAACTTTTGAGTGCAATTTTTTTCTTCTCGCATAATGAAATAAATTCCTTGCATTTCAGAATATTGTGATTCGCAGCCATTGCAAAGTCGCACCGGCACCGAATGCAATGTGGAGCACTGCACAAAAGCACTTTGTTTTTGTGCAAGTTCGCGCATATATTTGTCGCAGATCTGAGTCATGGAAAACAATTAGTGTGAACAGAAATGCTTTTCTAGATTAAGTATTGCTTACATTCTCGGCCAAAGCACTGGGTAAGGTGCATAAAATTAATATAAATACTTCTAAAAATCCTTTGAGTTCCATTTTTCTTTGAAAAAATATAATTAAAAACTACTCCTCAAATGAAAATACGATTTACACACAACTCTTTGTCATTTGTTTTTATTTTTAACTGCATTTGTTCAGTGTTGCTTCTTCGCGATAACCCTTTTTCTTTTTAATTGGAGAGAATATTACCATCGCTGCCATCAAAACTTTAATAATATATTTATTTATGTACAAAGACACATTATACTGATAACAATTTCTACATATTTAAGACATTACGTCTATGGTTGTTTTCGTTATATAAAATTGGCTTTTTATTCCGAATTTATAAATCTAAAGTTGCTTATCATGGGTAATGTAAGGCTGGGCTTACACATGCAAACTTTCCGTTCTTATAGCCAGCTGACTTGGGTACTTTATTTTCAAAGAATTTACTACTCGCTGGGTTTTTGCATGTTTTCGGCAGCGGTTTCCGAGTGGTTAGCATTGCGTACAGCCATTTGAAAGGCCCGGTTTCAAACACTGGTGCGAGCAACATCTAAACGTTATAGAAAATAAATTTAAAGAAATAAATTAATTAATTTTTCCAATTGCAGTCGCCCCTCGACATGGAATATCAAACCCTCCGAATGTATTTCTCATGTGAAGTAATTACTCTTCATAAAAAAACTATCAAAGATAGGTCCCTCCATTTGTCGCAAAAACACAAATTGGAGGAGAAGGTCGGCCGAAAAATCTCTTCAGCCGCTACAAAGCGCTATTTATATATATATGTCTACTTTTTCTATCGTCTACGGTAAAAGCACCAGCACGGTACCAGAAATCTTCCGCAAAACTTTTCTCATAAAAGCATTTCGATCCTTTAAAGCAATGATCCTAATCTATTTTTCCGGGGTCCGAATTATGCTTATCAGTAATACTAGATTCCGGTACTAGAAAATCCATCACATATTTTTCGTTCACACCGCACAGTGTGTTATTCGTCGATTTCAGCGGAACTTAATTCAAATTTTTTAAGTCGGCAATTTTATTTACTGCTCAGCTAAAATTGGTACAATATATATACATATATTTTAATATATACATACATTATATGTATCTCTAAATTATTTGTTTATAAAATAATGACAAAGATTTAGTTAAAAATCTGATCCCAAATTTTCAAGCCTTTAAGCAAAAAGGTCTCGAAGATCCAACGTTTTCAGACATTTTTCTCAACCCTTTAAAATTATTTTATAATATTTCAAACAAAGTGTAAGTTCTTAAAAAAATAAATTACAAAAAAATATATGCTTTAGTATGAATCTACATATAATCGCATTCAAAAAACTCTGATTCTCTTAAAAACATACACATACAAAATTGGCAATTATGACAGTATATTCAAATCCGTCCAACATTTGTTTAATATGAAAGAACGTATATCAATCATATACGCTCTTTGTTAATATATATTAAATCCTATTTTTTAGTACAAATTTTCATTTCCTACACCTTGTTATATTTCATACCTTCTACAAACAGTGTTGCATGTTTGCGGCTGATATCGCAGAATTCCAATTCGTTCTGAATTTTTAACCATTGCAAAATCCGACGCCGAAAGAAACATTTATCAGTGGAGTTTGTCTCTGCGCATTTGATTCTTGTGTAAAATCCCAGAATTTAAATATATAAATTTGAGCTTGCAATGAAAACAAGAAAATAGGAGTGTCTTAATTGTGACGATGAAGAAATGCCGATTTTTTTAATACTTTTCATTACTAAGATTTTCGCCGCTGGTTCCTGTCGCAGTTTTTTTGTTTCTTGCAATCGTGTGAGTGTGCATACTATTTTGTATATGTGTTTAATGTTGGACTCGAAGCCGGAGAAGTACACAGAGGCATTAAAAAAAATAATAATAATAAAATAGTGCAGTGTTGGTGAATAATTTTAATCATTAATCAATTGTGGCACGAATATAATCTTTTTCCTACGAATCCACAATTAAAAAGTTTGGAGGAGCGCGCCACTCCTTTTTGTAAAATTTTTTAAATTTTGTATACCTTTGCTCTCCAATCTCTCCACTCGGTTGTGGCTAAAGAATATCGGAATAAAACGTATGTTCCTTCTGGAGCACAAGCATAGCCGGTGGAACCGATTGAGTCGTATATTCATGTATACGAATTAACTCATGAGTACATAGACAGGTCTGTGAATAAGAAAACTGAACTGTGTACACAGTACTAACCAGCCGAGGCTGGCAGTTTAGGGAGTTATTTGGCTGCAAAATAATGAAACGAAATGTACAAATGTATTTTTTTGCAGCGCCTGCAAAGTAATAATAAATATAGTGAAAAAAATTGTTTTGTGGTCGGTGCAAATTCAGTATCAGTGAATTAAAAAGCAAATCTTGTAAAATTTTAAAAAGAAAGTTAATAATAAATTGAAGATTTTCTCGTTTAAAAATGAAAAAGATCGAAAGAAAAAGGCTTTGTTCACTCAACAACTGCAATAACTATTATCCTTAAGGTGAGTACTGCTAAAAATTTTTGATCAGTACGGATATGGAAGTTCTAATTGGTAAAGCTTCTAACTCTGCCACGCCTGTGTGACACCCATACCTGTAATTTCATTCATCGGGAGCTCAAAGTTAACGCTTCGAAAATGTCTATTTTGTATCTTGTCAGTGGTCTACTCGTATAAATGTACATATATTTTACGTGCACAACACCTTATAGATATCCGTTTGTTATGCTTGCGGCGGTATTTCAATGTATTTATAAATATACAAATATATATACCTATACACCTATATATTTGTATACTATACACGCATTTATGCTCTGTATATGTTTCGATTTTGTTTTTATATTATACCACGGTTTTTTATGCTTATTATGCATACATACGTACATACATACATGTTTACACACATGGAGTTGGTGGGAGGGTTTACGAAATGGGAGTATTTTGTGCAGCAATATTGTTCGGAACATTGCGGAACGGTGAAATTGTTATGCGCAAACTCCGGTTTTAGAGTCCTTCTGAGCATTGCATTCTTAAGCTTTATATGTATGGGACATTTTTAGGTAATTTTTAGTTTCAGAGAAAAGAACTTTAAATAAAAATGAAACTATTGCAAAATGCTTCTTAAATCTCTAGTTTAATTACATTTACATGAAGGATTATATAATGTTAAGAATAATCCAAATTTTTCCAAAGACCAAAGTAATATTGCCGGGATTTGCTGTCTTTATTTTTCAGAGGGACGAGTAATTTCATTCGAATGCCCTGAAGGCCCTACTACTTCTGATTAACGACTGAACCACAGTAGAAGGGGGAACTCTCTATTGGATCAAAGTATCATAGAAGAAAGATAATTTTTTCACTCATTGGATTTTACTTTGGATTAATAATGTACATAATACAGTATCTGCAAATTGCAAATGTTGTCAACTACATTATATTTTTCATAAAAATTTCGTCATATTGGAATTTATGTAGAAGAAGCGCAGTGATCGCTGTGAACTAGTAACAACCTAAGAGCACAAAAAAGAATTCTGCAGATATTATTGTTTGTGGTTTTTTCAAAATTTGTTCTTGCAAGTCATATTCTAACTACCTATTAGCATCGCATTGGGTATTAATGAAAGGAATGAAACACCAGCTGCAGTACCACATCAGAAGTAACAGTAGAACCGAAGGCCAGCTTTGGTGGCGGCAGCGGTGGTGGCAGCGGCAGAAGTGACAACAATAACGCATATAAAGTTGCAGTTTCAGATTACAAGTTGCTCCATGACAGGGCGAATGCATTCTTACTTAGCGCTTTGAGTGCTAAAATAACTTTTCGCTTTTGCCCGAGTGTATGTGTTTGTCTGAAAGTGCATATTTGTTAGTATAGGTATGCGTTTAGTATGCATTTGCTGTTTATATACAATACATATGCATATGCATGTTGATGCAGAGTTATCAGAATCTGTGTGAACAACTCACAGACATTGAGTCAGTTGGCCAGTTAGGTATGGGCTCGTCAGACCCCAGCTGTAGTTCGCGCCGGCCGAACAGCACGCAATATACATACGCTACGGCACTTTGCACATTTAACCGCGTTATTCTCGATTATTGTTCTGTATTTATTTGTATTTTATTTTCATTCGTTCGTGTTTGCCTATGCGAGCCCGCACACAACTCTGCCCACTTGTATGCCCACTATGGTACACTGATTGTCAGTCTGCACTGCAAACAGCCAACCAACGATCCAGTCAATCCCCGCGTCCCACTTGTGTGGCTGTGCGGAGAACTTAGCTCGCCCCCCTCTTTCATTAGTTTCGCTTAATGCGTTGCTATTTTCCCTTTTATTGTCGGAATGTGCGCAGAGATATCATAGATTTGAGAATACCCAGTTGCAGCGCGTTTATTTGTTGTCGATTTTATTGCTTTGATTTCACTACCATTGAAGTCCTGAGCTCAGTTTGAGTTCTGATACTGGCAGATTTATCGCAGATTTGCACCCACCCTGTCACCTACTCATCTAGCCTTCGGGCCCGAACTCGTAGAAACTTTCCGTTGAATCTCCTAGACTGATCTTGTCTGCTCCTAAGCGGGGTTGGGCTAGTCCAACACCGAATCGGAAACTCACAGTCATTTCGAGAGCTGTCCCGGCCAAAATGGTGTGGAGAATTACAATACAATTTAAAGTTTTCATGGACTGGATAATCTGCAGTCACCAGGCAGTTTCCACCGTAAACTTATCTCCGACGCCTGCATTGAATTTAAATTTAATTTGAATAAACTTGGCTTAATACAAAAAAACATACAAACACAAGACATTATCGCATTAACGGTACATATATTGTATGTATGCATGCAAAATTTTTGTTGAAATTCAATTATTTATTAAAAAATATAGACAAATCAATTATAATAAAAACACCATAAAATTCGCCCAAGCACCGAAAATGGTTAAAAGTCTCAAAAAAGGTTTTGAAAACATCAAATAATTTTTGTTTTCTATCAGTAAAGTCGCCAGCCGTCAGCCGTCAGCGTTTGGGCAAAGTTAAAACCCACACACAGCTGTTGGGGAAATCAAGTTTTCGCTTGCCAGGCAGCGCGCGGCTCAATTTAGTTTGGTTTTTGCTACAATTTTGCCGTTTTTTGCTCCACTGCTTTGTTCTTTGTTTTTGTTTTTCACTGAATCGCTCCACGCTTTCATGTATATAGTCGTATTTGTTGTTGTTCGCATTGGTTACTACTTTTTTCGTTTCAGTTTCCAAACACTTGTGTTACAATTTGCTATTTGCCAACTGTTCGCGTCTGGGTTATTTCTTTTGCTGAAGCTGGGCGCCCAGGCTGACGGCGCTGTTGCTGTGGCTGATTGCGTTTTCTTTCTTTTTCTACAAATGCAGAAAATTTGCATCACGCGACTTGATTTGACGGTGCGGCACAACATTCGGCCAAATAAAAATGTTAGATAACTCTGTTACGGTGGTATATGAACGGCTAGGCACGATCCGCCTGTGAGTAGAGTCCTTCAACGTATCATCCCGATGATGTGACCACATTTCTTTTTTTGTGAACGCTGTCCCGCAAAGCTGTTAGGAACAAGGATGAGCAGCGAATGTATATTTGGTCTCCTTGGCAAACACAAATGGGTTGAAACTGACTTCAAAAACCGCTTCCGGTTGCCAGATCCAGCCGATGACAATAAGGGTAGAACAATAGGTGGAGGACAAAACTTACCATCCATTTGAAAAATAGTTTTCCGTGGAATTTCCATTATGACAAAAACAATAGTATCCATGGCCCGAGCAGATATATACTCAGATCTTCCTGGGTTGTATATGACGTAGCCAATCTTAGGCCAAGGTCTTCTCTATTAAGGGATTAAGAGATGCATATTATATTATATATGTATGTATGTATTGGATATACAGAGAGTTCCATATAAATCATAATAACTTTTATCGGAACCCAATTTAATAATGATTAATTTTGATTAAATCGTTCGATTTTTCAATTTGTCCAAAACAATCACTGAAATGTTGCAGCTATGTTGTCTTAAGAATTATGCATTTTTATAAATTCTCTTTCAAACTTTGTTTGAACATCAATTGCATCACTGATTATTACTCATTCGCTGTCTTCTTTCATTTCGAAAGTCTTCTCACTAAATGGCCACATCACTACATCCTGCACACATCCTTTCTTTAGGTCCGTTTTGTTGAATAGTTTTCATTTCTGTGCTACTGAAGCGGACATTGGAAATGTGTGCGGAAGCGTTTTGACTAAACGTATCAAAAGCTCCAACAACACAAACGAACGTGCAATGACACAATCCTAGCCGGTTAACCAATTCAATATCCTCAAAGTGACTTTCATGTAGGGCGATGGTGGGGAAAGGAATGGAGTGTAATATACCTATATCCTGTCCATTCATTTATCGCTAGTTGGACGTCGTAGCTGAAGAAGACTGCTTTGTTGGAAAGTGACTGCGGAATTAGAAGGAGGCAAAATTTGATATTTCACTGATTTATCACTCAGACTTTGAAGACTGGGAATGGAGAGACAGAGAGGTAATCATCAAGATGTTAAAGTTTGTTATGTTATGCTAAAGTGTGTTATGTTAAGTTATGGTATGGTAAGTTATATTATGTTTTTTTTTTATGATAAGTTGTGTTGTCACAACCTATGTTAAAGTTTGTTATGATATGTCGAGGTAACTAACCTTTGTCATGTTAAGTTATGTCATATCAAAATTACGTTATTTTTAGTCTTGTTATGTCAAATTATGTTATCTTGTTAAGTTGTGTTGTGTTATGCTAAAGTTTGTTATGTTATGTTAAAGTTTGTTATGTTATGTTAAAGTTTCTTATGTTATGTTAAAGTTTGTTATGTTATGTTTGTTATTCTTTGTTATTTTAAGTTGCGGTATGGTAGCTTATTTTATGTTATGTTATGTTATGATAAGTAGTTTTGTCTTATTCCAAGTTATGTTAAAGTTTGTTATGTTATGTTAAGGTAAGTAAACTTCGTTGTGTTAAGTTATGGTATGGTAAGTTATGTTATGTTATTTTCAGTTAAGCTATGCTAAGTTGCATTATCTTAATGTTGTGTTTTGAACTGCTATTAGCGTTACATTATTTCATTTGAGCTATGATGTGTCAGACTTTACAACTTGTTTTACTTTCTAGTTTCGCTAGTCCCGTTTTAGTCTTCTTTACTTTATATTTACAGCTTTGTATGCCCAAACGCCTACGCTGGGAAGCAAATATTAAATTTATGTACACATAAAACACATTTCTGAATATTGCATTCATGAATGCTTTTCTCGTTTTTCCACTTTGGTTGGTATACTAAAATCCTTCTCATGTCGTCGCCACGAATGTCCTTTGCAATTTCCTTTACATTATCCTCGACATGCGCGCGTGGCATTTGCCCCGTTAGAAGCTGAGAAATCTCTTATCACAATCAAGCGCACACACACAACTGCTCCTGCAGGAGCATTCACAGTATCCAGAGTGTGGATCCTT